ACCAATAATAATGGTATTAGTGGCAGCGGGGCGCCGTATCCACTGTTTGTGGAGGGCTCCCTCACAGGTGGTTCCGCGCTGAATGAGGAAAGCGCCCTCGACGACGTGCAGTGCAGCTGCACGGCGCTGTGGATCCTTGAGAATGAGGAGCCGAAGGTGGGAGGGGCGGTGCGCATGCAGTCTGTGCAATACCGCCTGCGGCAAGCGTGCTCGAACTTGTATTTAGCCGTCACTGGCTCCGGTGTTGATGCCTTTTTCGACGAGGTTGGTCACGAAGAACTCACAGAGTCATTCTCCGAGGCCGCTGGGGTGGCACTAAAGGGTGGCAGTGACGTGGGCAGCACCGGAAACGCTGACAGCAGGGGCGGCGTTCGGGCGACAACGCTCTGCATGATATCACCACCACGCTCGCAGAAAGACCTGAAACGCACCCTCTTCACCGTGAACCCGATGTTCGCCTCTGATTGCACCTTCCTCATAGAGAACGAGTGCCTGCTTCTGCAGAACGTGTTGACAGGGCTGTATGTGTGTACGCAGGAAACGGGGCAGCGATGGCGTCTCTCACTCCAGTGGCAGCCGCCCGCGCACGACACCATTATTGCACGCAAAGTTCGCCCGGACATGGAGAGCGACGTGCTGTTTCTGTGGGCGCAGTGTGAGCGGCTCTGTCAGTACCGCGACGCCTTTCAGGCACTGGCACTCGCGGAGCAGCAACGCCAGTCTAAATCCCGGCTGAGGAAGGAGGAACAGGCGAAGGAGGCGCCCCTCCTGCTTCAAAACAAGACACCTCGGTCCTCATCGATCTTTGTGCAGGACGATGAGGCGGCGAAGTTCGTGCATTCACGCACAAATCGTGCGAGGTGGGAAGAGGTGTGCGCCCGCACTTCTTACGTGGCGCTGCTCCCGACCATCCGCATGTGTCAGCGCACGCTGTCGGATCTCATTCGCTTCTGTTCGATGTCCCGTGAGCGGAACGCTCTCCGCATTGAAGGAATCCCAATTTCAAAACACCAGCGCATGATGTTTGATCTGTGCGTGCACCGCCTCGTGTTCGACGTCATTCTCGCTCCGTTCACGCTGCTCGCGGCAGCAGGGTCGACTGTCACGAAGAACCACGAATGCGCTGCAGGTGGTGGGGAAGCTTCTACCGCTGCTCCTAGGCGCATGGCTGGAATACTTTCCTGGGGACACAGGCAATGGGGCTGCAACAAGCACCTGCCGCCACAGCCCCTGACTGGCGGTGTTATCTGCCTTGACGACGTGCTCGAGGAGATGCATGCGGAGGTGCACCTCGTGTGTCGCATGGCCTTCCGACTGCTGCGGCAGATGGTGCGCAAGGCGCCGTTGCTGAAGGCGGGGTTTGGCGAATTCATTCCATACGCGTTGGAGTTGGACGGGCGCCGCTTCCACGTGGTAGAGACGCTGACAGAAATATTCTCGGACAATGCCAACATCACCGTGCCTCTCATGGAGACCATGGTGGACCACTTCATCGAAAATCTCAACCGCGTGCGAAGTGCGGGGTACCTGCAGCTCCTCGCCTCCATGTGCGTCGTCGAATTCCGCGGCATCGCGGAGCGGCAGGCGCTTCTGTGCCGCCGGCTCCTCGTCGAGAATGAAAATGTGCTTTGCCGCTTCGTGCTCGACCAAGCGGGGGATTGGGCCATCATCACTGGCCAGGGAGAGAAGCCCGTGCCGTGCCACGTTGTGTTCAACATGCAGCAGGAGCAGCAGCAACAACAACAACAAGACAGGGGCCAGAAACTCGCGAAGTTCGTGGAGAGCGAGGTGGATCTGCTCAGCCGTCTGTGCTTCGATGGCTGCCCGCCTGAGTGCTGCGCTGAGGTGGCGAAGGTGTTCCCGCCAGACGTGATGCTTGAGGTGGTGCAGAAGTTCCTGTGGACCGGCGCAGAGGTGATGGGGCGGCCCAGCCCGTACGATGTGCTGCGCGGGCATTTGCTGCGACTTGCAGTGCAGTGCTACATCGTGCCCCGCATCAGCGACCCCGCTGTGCAGCTTCGCGCCTCGACCGTGCTGTTCGGCTCCAGCCAACTGCGCGTGCGTGTCGAGGGCAGCATGCCTTTTTCCGGCAGCCCCGACGATGAACTGACCCGGGCGGTGAAGTTCGCCACACTCGCCCTCATTCGAAGCAATCCGCACTTTGTGCAGTCGGATATGCACCGCAGTGTGCTGCTGCGCACCTGCGTGAACGCCTGGCTGCGGTTTGTCAGCTCCCACCAGATCACGTCAGCGGAGGTGGGCTGCATTATCCCGCCACTGCAGAGCCTCCTCGACGGTACCAAGGACGTGGTCGACGACAACAGCAGCAGGCTCGCCGCGCACATCAGGACACGCCTCGAGGTGTCGGAGGCAAGCGTGCTGGTGATGCGGACACGCGAGATGATTTGCACGACACTCCTTAAGCTCCTCGAGGGTGCCGCCCACCGCGCGGCGGACGAGATCATTCTCTTCCTCCACGAGGCCTTGGCCAGCGGCAACCGCGAGGCGTTCCGCCAACACCACGACGCACTGGGGCCCGCTGTGGAGGTGCAGTCAAACGAGAGGTGCGCGCTTCTGGAGTGCGACGGGAGCTGGTGCGGCGTCTTTGGATCTCGGCGCGGCGGCTACCAGTCCATCAACAGCGACGCGGAGATGATGGGCGTGGGCATAGACACGCACGGTGGCGGTAGCGGCAGCCTTATCGACCCAAAGGAGGTGGTGGACTATCTGAACTGTGTGTGTGGAAGCATTACGCAGCAGTTCCACGTGAAGGATCTCATCCCATGGCTCATGGATCTTGTGCGCTACGACAGCGCAAAGCTCACCGCGCAGGCAACGGAGCTGCTTGTCCGTCTCTGCGTGGTAGAACGCATTGTGGCGCACCGCGTGCTGCTGGTGCACACTCTGCCCTCCATTGAGGTGACACGGAACTTTGATCATCTGTATACTGTTGCGGTTCGATTGCAGACGCTATGCCGCAGCGGTTGCGTTGACGAAGCCGTCGCTACCGCACTTGAGAGCATTGAGGCGAATCGAACTCAGCCGCACGACACATCCACTGGCGCAGATGCGAAAGGGCCGGATAATGCTACCGCTGATGTTACTACTAATGATGACGATGATTATATAGGCGAAGAGAAGGAGGAGTTGGGTCTGTATGCAAGCGATGTGGACGAAGCCGCTGAAGAGGAAGAAGGGGAAAAGGACAGCGGGGCAGTATCAGTAACGAGGCGTGGGCACCGGCTGCTGGTAAAGACAGCAGGAGCCGCGCGCATGTTGGCGTATCGAAGCACCATCCGCCGCCGCCGCCGCTCCGTTGGTCTCAGCGAGACATCCACCACACCGCTGCGTCTTGTCATTCGTGCAGAGATGGTGTGCCACTGGCGCATTCACGTCACACTGCTGCGGTTGCACGCATCGATAGACCCTAGCAGCCCGACCTTCTTCAAGTGGATGCGTTTCTTCTACCTCTTTACTCTGTCGCGCAGCAACGCGCGAGCGCTGTGGCCGCATATGGCGCTCTTCATGAGTTCCCTCACTCTCAACGCGGAGTCCACCGTCATGTGCCTTCACATCATTGTGGCGATCCTCGCCACCGTTGCCGACCCCACGCCGTACCTCACCACCACATTCCTCCGCGAGTGTGTGCGCCACCTTGACAGCGAAGTGGCGCAACGATGCCCCGACGATGAATTTGCGTCTCAGCTCAGCGCGAGCATCTTTGCGAAGCCGGTGGTGGGTGGCGTAGCGCGGCGGCGCATGCTGCAGCTGCTGCGCGACCACAACACGCTGCGCTGCCTGCCGCGGCCAGGTGCGGGCGTGGCGTCGTACGGGAGCGGCTTCATCGCGTCGATGGTGGAGCTGCTGTGCCACATCTGCGGCGCCTCCATGAGCGCGTTGGCGATGGGGCGGCGCGCGCTGCCGATGCAGAACATCTTCGCCTTGATCATGGAGTGCGGCACGGCGTACAGCCCGCTGCGCTCCGCGACGCAGCGACGCAGCGGCAGCGAACGTAAGGCGTTCCACCTCGTTGGCACGTACCTGCGTGCCCTGGTCTCGCTCTACATCGCCGCTGGTGAGGAGGAGGGCGGGCATGGCAAGGCGCAGCGCAAGATGGAGTGGATGGGGGA